TATAGTTCAGTCCAATTTTCTGCCCACTCTAGAAAGGACTTTGGATCCCAGGTCACTTGCATTTTCCTATCTTCTCTTTCTAGCCCTCTACCTTTGCATGTTATCTTCCTGGTCCTTCTAACTTTTTCTGTTTGATGAACTCCTGCTCATTCAAGACTAATAGCCTGCTACCACCTCCAAGAATCTCTCTCATTTCCCCTTGTTTCCCCAAGCATAGTCAAGGTCCTTCTCCATGTTCTCACAGTACTGATTATAATTACACATATATGCCAGTCTCTTTTTTTACCTCTCTGTCTCCATCATTAGCTATGAGGTCAAGAAAGGCAGAAAATGTGATCTTTAAATCCCTGATGTACACTGTGACACAGTGCTTAACTTATAGAAAGTGTTTAATAAATGTTAAATTAATGAGTCTAGAAAAATTATTTAGGGAATGAGCAAATGTTTACAGAATTTCACAATCCACCAATAGAAAAATATTAAGCTCAACAGGTCAATAAAATGTAGTGCACTGCCAGACACGGTGATGCATGCCTGTCGTGCCAGATACTCAGGAGGGTAAGGCTAAGCTTGAGCTCAGGAATTCAAGGCCAATCAGGAAAACATGGTGAGAGTCTGTCTCAGAAAGCAAAAGCAAAAACAAAACCAAAAATGCAATGCACTAAAGACTGAACTATGTTTAAACAAAATCCAGGTTAAATATTTAAAGATTTATTTCCATACTTACAGATTTTCCTTCTGCCCAAATGACTGCTCCAACTCCTGTTTTATGATCCTCTGAAAGATATGACATTGAACTCAGTAAAAATCAATGACTGTTAGTTTCAGAAATACACTTTTCCAAAAATAATAAAAACATATTTTGAAACATTCTTCATAATCATCCTAACAATTCTTGACATCTTTACTAATTACAGAGAAGTATTAAAGTAAAGACTTCAAAGTATGAAATATGGGAGCTAGGTAGCAAAGAAATAGATTGGGTTATTACTCACTGAGTCACACATGATATACATGTGGAGACCACTAATATGGCAGTGGCCAGTCAGATCACTTCAAAGCTACAACCAGAACTAAGCACAACTTCATTGATTCTCCACTAACAGGTCAGTTTCCAAATGACTACTTCTCTTTATTAGTGTATATTAATTGCACAGAATCTTGGGTTTCATATTTGTATTTATATATAACATATTTTGCTCATTTCTACTGTTACCCGCCTTTACCTCGCCCTCTCCCACTCTTCAACTAAGTCTCTCCTTTCTACATTGCTGTCTTTTTGTTGCTTTCTTTTCTAGATTCCACATGAGAGAAAACATGCTATACTTGTCTTTCTTGCTTAACATGATGATCTCTAGTCCCATCAATTTTCCTGTGAATGACATGAATTCATGGCTGAATACTACTCCTTTGTATGTATTTGTATATGTGTGTGTGTGTGTGTGTGTGTGTGTGTGTATGTGTGTATATACACCACATTTTCTTTATCCATTCATATGTTGACAGGCACCCAAGCAGATCTGTAGCTTGGGTATTCAGAATTGTGCATGATAAAAACAGGTATACAGGTATCTCCATGATATGCTGACTTTAATTCTTTTGGAATATACTAAGGAATTTTGGTATGATTGGATCATATGGTAATTCTAATTTTAGTTTTTTGAGAAATCTACATCCTTATTTCTATAGTGACCATGCTAATTTAATTCCCACCAACAGCGTACAGTTGTTCCTAGTTCCCATATCCTCACTACCATTTATTATTATTTGTATTCTTGATGATTGCCATTCTAACTAGAGTAAGAGAATTTCTTTTTTGAATACTGGGTATTGAATCAGTATCAAAACTAACTACTAAGCTACACTCTCAGTCCTTTTTACTTCTCATTTTGAGATGAGGTCTTGCTAAGTTGCTTAGAGCCTTGCTAAATTGCTGAGGCTGGCATTGAACTTGTGATCCTTCTGCTTCAGCTCCCTGAGCCACTGGGATTACAGGTGTGCAATACTGTGCTGATATGAAATAGAATTTCAATGTAGTTTTATTTTTTTAACATATTTTTAGTTGTAAATGTACATGATACCTTCATTTTATTTATTTATTTTTATGTGGTATTGAGGATCAAACCCAGTACATCACACATACTACGCAAGTGCTCTTCCACTGAGCTACAGCCTCAGACCATCAATGTAGTTTTGATTTGCATTTCCCTGATGGATTTGTACTTCCCTAAAGATGCTAAAATTTTTTCATATAATTATTGGCCATTTGTACTTATTTTGAGAACAGTCTGTTCAGTTCCTAAATGACTACTTCTAATAGATGATGTAACTGAGTAAAAAAGTAGTTTTTGATAATTGTGAGTACAATATCTACTCACAACAATCAAATGTGTCTTCTAGTCTTTTTAATGTTCTAATCATGGAAAATATATTTTATGGAAGTGTTCTTGCTGTGCAAAAAGTTCAAACTTCTAATAAAAAATAAAATCTTTATGAACTTTTATATCTGCATGTCTACGTGAAAGATCCATGAAGAAAATTTTGATTTAAACAAAATATTGTCATTTTCTTGACCTGCATAGTTTAAGAGGGAAAAGAATACTATGTTAGTGATATTATGGTCATTTCTAAATCAAGTGGCAGAAGTTATAAACATAAAATTTTAATTCTCTTGCAGAACAAAAACTTTCGCAATAAGTGGTCCTTCTTAAAACCATTAATGTGAAACAAAAAATAAAAAACCAAAATAGAAATTGCACATATTAGGGGGCTGGGGTTGTGGCTCCTCGGTAGAGCCCTTGCCTAGCATGTGTGAGGTACTGGGTTCGATCTTCAGCACCACATAAAAATAAGTAAGTAAAATAAAGGTATTGTGTCCAACTACAACTAAAAAAAATATTTTAAAAAAAGAAAGAAACTACACATATTAGGATCTAGTTTCCTTCCACATAGGGTGAGTTTCAAATTCCTAAGACAAATATACACTAATTATGAAAACCATAGTATTTGTCAAAATCATAGAGGACTAATGTAGTTTGGATGATATACTTACATAGAAAAAATAAGAATTATCTGTAAACTTACCTAAGTTCATTATCAGACTGATGAGTGAAACTATGGCTTCCCCTTACAATTTCTTACAAGTTAAAATCCTTCCAATTAAAATATATATCTTAATACCTACTTTTTTCAGTAAAAGCACAAAGAAAATTTGTGCCACTTTATATTAAAAAACTAGGATGCCTTATAACTAATTTTTTAAAAGTTATGATATGCCAATAAAATTTCCCATCTCTAGTTCAAGTACTCAGGCTTTCAAAATCATACTACAATAGATTTAAGTAATTTATGTTAAGCACTTTTTATTCACCATCTCATTTTCATCTAAAGATAAAAGTTGATTCCCTTCTGTAAGTAAGAAAATGGGCAGAGAAATTCAGTGAATGAAGTTCGGCCCTTGTGACCCAATCTATTTGCCTTTCCTCCACCTCCCTCTTTGCCATTAAGAATTCCACAACAAAGGCTTCCATTTTTTGAGTGCCTGTGTTCCAAGTATGGTGAATGTTCCTCCAGCAACTCACAGCTGACTGGGCAGAAGGCTTACTAAGGAAAGACATAGATGTGTGCTGTGCCCTGAAGATGAATGGGATACTGAGGTCTAGAGGATGTCTGGTGACTGGCTTCTACAGTGTGGAGGAAAAGGAGATTAGGGCATAAACAAAATTTTGTTTCTTCCTAGACCTTTACGTGACCTAGACCTTAACATGAGGAAAAAAGATATAAATCAATGGCTTTATGCTCATTTCTGAGGCAAGTGGACAATATTATAAACATAAGATTATATTTGCGAGCAAAAACAAAATCTTGACTGGTAAGTTCTATTAATATGTACATAAATCAGAAGTAAAAAATGAAAACAGAAATTCTTCATTTTAAGAGTCTACTTTTCCTATCAACATTTTTTTTTTCATGTTATGTTTTTTTAATCTCAGGATCCACATTTTCTGTTCAGTCTGGGGATAGACTAAACCTTGTTAGGAGAGGGAGAGATGTGATTTTTTTCATCAGCATGCAGCTCTGCTGCCTTGTAAAGATCAATTACATCAAGAGAATATTTTTTACTACGTGTGTTTTCCAATAGGATAAGTTTTCATCCATATAAAAATGGTTTTGGAAAACACTTTTTCTAGGACACAAAAGGAGATCACAACTCAACACTTAAACCAGGTAGATAACATGAGATGCCTTTTACTCTTTCCCCCCATGAGTCTGAACACATTTTGTCACTTTTTGCTACTCTAATATCCAAGAAGCATTCATTTAACAACACCTCTGTGGATCCTCATTATTAATCATTTAAAAAGAAATTATTAAACCCCTATTTGCAATTTGTTTTAGAACTTCAGAGGTTTTGGAATTCATTTTCATCATGTCTTTTTTTTGGACTGGTCTATTGAACCCAGAGGCACTTTACTCTTAAGCTACACACACAGCACTTTTTATTCTTTTTTAAAACTTTGAGACAGCGTCTTGCCAAGTTGCCCAGACTAGCCTTGAACTTATGATCCTCCTGCCTCAGCCTCCCAAGTAGTTGGGATTACAGGAGTGTGCCACCATCCCTGGCTCCTTGAAGAAGTTTTTAAAAATAGATCTAAGTCACACTTGGTTAGAGCAATTGTTGAACAGGGTCTGGGGAGGAGTTTGAGCATCTGTACTTTTTATTAAAGTTTCTGTGGTGATTCTGCAAAACATGCTGTCAGTTGAGTTCCTCCATTCTACTGAATTTATTTCAATCTGACCAATAGCATTGGCATGGACCTTTTCTGATTTTCCTTCTTTTCTCCTTTCTGGGATAATTTAAAATTCCTATTATAGTCCACTCCACAAACTAATCTTACTCTACTGTTCTCCCTGCCTGCATTTTTCCCACTTATTTTCAAGTTGCATTTTTTAAAGTGGTCATGATTCTCTTTCAAAAAATACTACATCTAGTAATTCTTGAAAATACTGCTCCATAATTGGAAATACAGATACATTTTATCACAATAAAGAATATTCTCAAGTAATATTTTCCTTCTCCACACACACAACATAATAAAGTAAAAATGTTTAATTTCTCAGTTTTCTGATTAAAGACATACTGGCAACTGAGAAAATCTGCAATAACCAACATTCCTTTACTTTCATTGTATTAGTTATTTTGAATTCATATTTTTAATTTTACAGATTTCCAAGTTTTCATCAAATACTCAATACAAACAATATTGAAGAGTTAACAAGAGTGATTTTAGTTTTCTCTTTGTCCCATTTTTAGTGGAAGGCTTGACAAACAGAAATCATAAATGCAAGGAGAAAGACGAATTAGATAATTTGGTCCTGAATTATAAATGTAGTGCTGAATAAAGGGCCACAAGGATGTCCCAAACTGCTCATAGGAAGAGTTGCCTACACAAGAGTCTCACAAACTTCAGCATGAACAGCCAAACTTTAATATCTAGGAGCAAATGAACTCTGCCATAGATAAGATGCATACCACTTTAATTCTGAGACAAATACAACCAAACCAATTTGCCCCAATTTATGAACTAAGCATTTAACTCACCAGTCCGATATGCCAATAACCTGGCCTGAACCATGCAGTGCCTTGCAATTTCTTGTGGCAAACTTTGATTGTGAATTTCATTAATCTGTTCTGGATTACTACAATAAAATCCAAAGTGTTTAAAGCTGGGCACACTGGAAGCTACTGTGGCCAAGATTAGGATAAGGTCTTTCATGTTTTGCCTCAGATTGCTAAAGTAGGGATTTTCACACAGGTTCTCCAGACCTATAGTCATCAGGATTTGCTTATGCATTTCTTCATTTGAAATCAAAAATATCATTTCATATTCTTTTATTCGTTCTTGTTTACATTCAGAATAAAAGTCAATGTTAGCATCTGGTACTGTCTTTGTGATTTTTTGAATAAAGTCACATTTGTAGGAAGTCTCCTCTACAAACTGCACCATATAACACACCAAAGGTTGAAGTAAGACACACACATGGGCCCGACTGTTTGACTTCAGTCTTTCCACAGCTTTGGCATCTAACTTTGCATCTTCAGAACTAGAAGCCTCAGTAAGCAAACTTATTTCTGGATCAGCAGGCCAATATGAAATTCGATTAACTCCAGCTGAAATACAAAATATGAAAGATAATTATCTGATACATGCTGAATATACATTTTCTTGATAAACCCATCCTAGCAATGCAGTAGAACAAGAGGGCCCAATACAATAAATGTCTATCATGAAGTCACCTATTAATCCATCTGAGGTTTGGCAAATAATTATCCATAGGCCAAATCTAGTCCATTGCGAATTTTTGTACAGCTCACAGGTTAACTAATTTGAAAAAACACAAGACTATATCATAACACAAAATTAGACACATTGATTCATTTATACAATCTTTAGCTGCCTTTGCATGGCAGAGTTGAGTAGCTGTGACAGATATGTCATTGCCTATAAACTTAAAATATTTACACTTTTGCCTTTTTGAGACAAAGCTAATTGACCCCAAACAGAGCCCAGGGGAAGGATTTGTGGATTCACTGGTTTTGCTGAGTATGGTCCCAAAGCCCAGCACTGGGACTGTATACCAGCACCTTCCACAGTGCCATGGCTGCTTTTAGAAATGTTACAAATAGCATTTGGTCATGTCTAAAGTTTTGTATTTAGAAATCAACAATTCATCAATGCATTACAAATGATTCTGTCTTGGACTCAGAATTCTTCTGGAAAGAAAAATTCATGTATACACAGTTAATGCAGCATTCTTTAAAACATTAAAAATAATAGACAACCAACATAGGGAATGGTTAAACAAATCATATATTCCTCATAGTTATAAAAAAGTGTCCACATAGAATTCAGAACATGAAAATTACTTATGTGATGCTAGAGTAGTGGTGTGTCAGCAATATTAATTCATTTAAGCCACAACACTGAAGACAAAACAAGAAAATAAAGGAACATTTTTCAATCAATGAGGCAGAGGAAAGATTGGTAATCTTTAATACACAGAAAAGACTTTAAATCATTGAGAGTACATATGAATTGACAAAAAGAATGAGATCTCGAGAGAGACAAAAGATATGAAAAATTTACAAAAGAGAAAAATATAACTAGATAACAAACATATGAAAAAATATTTTAATTTGTATCTGAACTTGAACAATGAAGGTACCTTATACACAAATACCCAAATATTTGTCAATTAACAAATAGTTTACAACAAAGACTTTTTTCTTGCTGGTAGTCTCATGTAATTTCAGCTTGGAGAGACTTTTTTTTATGATTGTGCCCAGAAGTGAATAGACAGATAGCCCTCTGGTGTCCCATCTTTCAACGTAATAGATGAGCTAAAAAGTAAACTGATGTGTATTTCTGCCTATTCTCTGCTATTCCTAACTCACTGTGGTTTGAGCTGCAAAGCAATTTCAAAGGCCTCACAGCTCAGATACAGTCTTTCCCCTTGCTGCATTTCATCCCTGTTCAAGTTCTCATAATCCATTTCCTGACTAGCAGCGATGGTAAAACGTTCATCTATGAATCTTAGTTGCTCCTAGTAATCCCAATCCAAGAAGGGAAGATGAATTACCTTTAAAATGTTCAATACTACTGGTAAGTGCTATAGCAGAGGTTCTCAAATTTTTTATCTTAGGATCCCTTTATTGAGAACCCCAAAAAGTTTTTGTTTGTATGGATAGCATCTTTTGATATTTATTTTATTAAAAATTAAAAAATACTTATTAATTCATTTAAAATAACAAAAAGAGTCATTAATATACATAACAGTTTTATGATAAGAAACTATTTTCCAAGTTAACCAAAGTTAGTGAGAAAAATGGCATTGAATTTTTTTTTTTAAGAGAGAGAGAGAGAATTTTTAATATTTATTTTCTTTAGTTTTCGGCAGACACAACATCTTTGTTTGTATATGGTGCTGAGGATCAAACCTGGGCCACATGCATGCCAGGTGAGCACGCTACCGCTTGAGCCACATTCCCAGCCCGGCATTGAATTTTTACAAATGTATTTAGTATTTGGCTTAATAGAAAGACAGCTGGATTCTCAAATTCACTTCTGCTTTCAATCTGTTGCCAACAGGTTGTTTACACTGAAGTATATTAAAATTATTCTGCCTCATACAGACATGCAGTTGAAAAAGTAGTATTTGAACAGCCATGTTAGATAATTGTAAACATTCTTTTTTGACACTATTGTAAATATCTGACAAGAAATAGTTTCTTAAAGACTAGTTACAAACCAGGCACTGTGACCCATGCCTATAATCCCAGGTAATGGCTTAAGAGGCTGAGGCAGGAGGATTGTGAGTTCAAAGCTAGCCTCAGTAACTTTGTGAGGTTCTATGCAACTTAGTGTGACCCTGTCTCAAAATTAAAAAATATATAAAGAGTAGGGATGTGGCTCAGTGGTTAGGTGGCCCTGGGTTCAATCCCTGATGCCTGCACCATCACCACCACCAAAAAAAAAAAAAAAAAAAAAGATTAGAATGTGAAATCTGAAACCATATCAACAAACTTTTTGTATCTATACCCTGATCTGTCTTGTACTTAGAATGGCTGTTTTACTCATGCATGATTCTGTAGTTTTGTGCACTGGTCATTTGGAAAATGTGATATTGATTTTACAATACTCAAAAAAAGTCCATTATATCACCACCAATCTCATCATAAGAGTATAAATATCAGGAAGTTGTCAAGCTCAAAATGGTGGATATGGTTTTCCAAAATTCTAATTTTCACTTTGAATGCTCAAATTTTATGATTAGCAGCAAATAATGTCAATTGTTTCCTGAAAGTGACAGGTTCACTTCATTTTTGAGGCAAAATAGCTAATAACCATAGTCTGTCAAATTATGGTGTTTCATGAAAAAAGTGAATCATTTTAGTTTGCAACTCAAAACAGTCACATAAGTGGTTTTCCTTAAGGCAACCTTCACATTAGGTTTGTAATAAAAGTATTTTATAACAAAGTCCTTTTTCCTTACACAGAATATTAAAAAGATGTGTATTCAGGATTAGAATTTAATGAAATTAATGACTCTTACTGTTTCATAAAAGCCCTTCTTGTGTGAAACTATTTCTTTGTGCAGTGAAGAGCATAAGGACTGCTAGGGCAGTTTGCTTCGTCTATAGCAACAGTGGTTTTACTCACCACTGTTTTGGTCACTTTAGTGTGAATGTAGCATTACTGTGAAAACATGTTGATCTTGTAGACCATCAGGAGAATCACCATGCTAGGAAATGACTGCTTTGGTTTAACCGGAAGTAACAGTGATAGGAACTAAAGGAGTTCAGCTACAGCATAAGTTCAACTATGCCACCTTCCCAAGATAACTAATATGTAAACTTAAACCAACAGAGCAATTTTATTTACTTATAGGTCTATCACCAGCATAAATGCATCCTAGGTCTCTTTCCACACTTTATTCTCTCTCTTGGCAGACTGAAGCTGTAGTGAGTGACTCGCACTCCCCTGCGATTCTAAGCCTTAGCTCTGAGGTGATCAGGGGTGCTTTGAGCACAGGCAGTTCTTTTATTCATTCTTCTCCCTTGACTCTAGAACACATCAGTCAACATATTTTGGTTCTTTCATATTCTTTCCTTTCTATATCAATGTCACCATCTGAACTAATCAGTCGGCTAAGCAAGCTAACTTCTCCCTGATCCAATTCTGTAAAAACAACAAAAATTTAATCATGTTTCATCTTGCTCAAAAACCTTTAATAGCTGCATATCATCTATAATGGGAAGTCAACTGAACATAAATGATTAAATGAATGTCCAATTTGCCTGGTTAACTGGGCAAAGGAGGAAAAAAAGCCATGACTACTGTGACACCTATCTTCTCTATTAGGAACTACAGTGGAGAGACTACAGAGTCACTCTTAACATACCTGAAGGCTTGCAATACTTGTTGCAGGCCAGGAAGCTCCTAACCACATGACCTTTCTCCTGGAAGTTTTTCCTTGTGTCGTTCAAGGCACCAACCTCAACATAGATCTGATCAGTATTTATAAGACTTGGATGTACATAAAAACAGTTAAAAAACAGGTCCTGGAATTCTGTCCCATAAGATAAAGCTCAGAGGCTATGTAATTTTTCAAGGTTCTCCACTAAAGCCCCAATTTACCATTATAAGCCATCTGTCACTATTTTCTTAGGAATAATCTTTCATTTCAAATACTGGACTTTTCTTCTTACAACTGAGTGATGCTACAAAGACTGCTGTTCCTGACCACCCATGAGTTCCCCTTCCTGTATGAGTGACCTATCAGGATCCAGTTTAAGCCCCAAACTTTCATAACATGACAACCTACAGGGATCATTTTCACCTCTGAGATCATTTTATCACTTACAGCATATATCAATCATTGGACACTACATGATGTATTCACTAAATTGTTATTTTGGTCTCCAAGTAACACCCTGAGGGAAAGGATTAGGAGCCATATTAGTTATTTGTTTTTAAAACTTTTTTTTTTTTTCATTTTGGTGGCGCTGGGGATTGAACTGAGTCTTGTGCATACTGTGCAAACATTACACAACTAAGTTGTACCCCCAGACATTCCTGAGGCCTGTGCTTTTAAAAGCAATTATGCCTTCTCCTCTCTTTCCTTCCTCTTCTGGCTTCAGAGGACTCAAAGCCCCAGGTATGACAACAGTAGTAAGATGGAAGATGCCTAGGCCTGTGAATCAACTACACAGAGAAAAGCTGCCTGTTGCTCAGCAACACCTGGGCTATGACAGGAGTGATGTCTAATATATTAAACCACTGAGATCTTAGGGTTTCTTAGAGATAGTAGCACTAGTCTACTAATTCACTGAGGGTCATTAGGCTGACTAGTGGACAGAGTTGAGGACAGCATCTTTGTTTTCTGACTCTTTGCACAGTGTCTCAAACTGTCTTCAGACATACATCAGTATTTCCAAATGATCTCTGTGAGATTTAGGCAATTTGTTCCCTTGTTTGCTCTCAGATCTATTCCTAATCCCCAACAAAGCCTTATCTGCACTTACCATTTACAATCATTTTCAAACAAGCAGAACATGGTTTTCTGGAAAAATAAAGATCACAGTTTTTCAGCCTTGACCCATGTTTAATAAGAGCAATTTGCCCAGCATGTAGATCTTCACTAGAACAATGGAGACCAACAATTTTCATGTTTTTCACCACCACGAGACCAGTTTTCTTCACCTACAGTGAGATACAAAATAAGAAGTTGCTGAGAGCCATAGCCAAGTAGGAATGATGCATGGCAATTTCCTTGTCAGGCTACCCAATGTTGCTTAGAGGGAGGACTCTCCATTGTGGAAATGGGCTTGCCTTGGACCCAGGTCATTTGTAGTGACATTGCATGAATGTTTGAGAGTTTTGATTTGAAAGGTGACCTTGCTCAGGGATTAGGGCGGATCCGGGTTTAGGGTGTATCCTGCTGCTTGGTTGTGGGGATTCAGAGGGTATTTGGTACGCAGAGCCCGGTGGAGGGTGTATTTTCCCAGAACGTGTGTGTAGAGTGCTGGTGAGAGTTCTGAAATAAAGAATTGCTGTTTGAATCTACAAGGCTGTGAGTGGCTCGTGATTTTGTGCCCGGCCAGACTGCGGCAAGAAGTTATTAATTATAACTCATGATTGTCATAATACTTGATTTATTAATAAAATGAAAATTTTGATTAGTTCTTTATCTGAACATAGTTTGTACAAAAGTATATTTTGCGTTAGGTCCAAAACAATTTCTGAAATTTTGTGTTTACTTTAGATCAGAAATTTTTAAAACTGAGGCTCTACTAATCAAACAATTAAATTTGCAAATTATCACTATTTTATTCTAGTGAAAGATGAATACAATTTAACCTAGTAAAGGGCAGGAACCAAGTTGGTTTCACTTGGTTTTTACACTATCCAGTCTAGGACTATTGGGTATTAAGCTTCCAGTTGTTAAAAAGGAAAGATTTGGAAACCCCTCTCATTTTACACATGGATAAATCAAGCCCAGAGAACTTTCCAAAAGAATTCACAGATAGTAAAAAGCAGAATGAAAGAGAGGTCATCACTGAAAAAAAAGAAAATTCTCAACATCCTAAAAACTGGCTGAAGATTTTTCAACACTACGACAGTCTAGACTCATGTATCTGGGTCCCTCACTATAATTATATAGGTAAGTTATAACACACAAACAAAAGTCATACTGTCAGGTGTCAGGAAAGAGAACTGACAGCCAAAGTGAGTTCCTTGGCAGTATTCCAGAGGGGACTGGGCTGACCTGAATTAAGCCGTGCAGGCTGGACACTACCTAGGGTTCTAGAGTTCTAATGAGACTCTTTGAGTGAAGACTTTCTGCTACTTAGAATCTAAAGTACCCTGACTTATGAAAATATCAGTGAAAAAGAAACTCATGTAATAATACTAATATTAGATAAAATATTAAATAAAACAGCTAGTCAAGGTGGTGCGTGCCTATAACCCCAGTTACATAGGAGACTGAGGAAGGAAGATCTCAAGTTCAAGACTGGACTGAGCAACTCAGGGAGATCCCACCTCAAAATAAAAAAGAATAAAGGTGGCAGTGAGGCATGCTAAGGTACATGTAGTTCAGTTGCAGAGCATTTGCCCAGCAGGTATAAGGATATGGGTTCAATCCTCATCAGTACAAAAAAAAAAAAAATCAGATAAAACAGAGAAGTAAAAAACAAAATCAGTCCTACCTAAGGCACAAAGTAGTCTATGTTGTTTTCACAGCAAAACAAAAATAAAGACAATTCTATAGTAAGGAATGTAAACTTGATCCTTGGGTTTGGAAATATAGTCATGACATGAGAGGAACTTGGGCTGACGATAGGGTGTCCCTTATTTCCCACCTCCTTCCAAAAGGATTTTACTCTATATTGATTCCCTATCAGAACATATTTGAAATCACTTTAAGGACAAGACCAAAGTACTATAAAATAAAACAGTCAAGTGTCAGTTGATTTATTAGTATAAACGTTCGGAATTAGGAAGGATATTTTGTGAAATGCCTGGAAAAAAGGAATAGAGATTTCATGAAATTCCCTTTCTGAGCTAACCAACCATCTCCTAAACTACAAAGGCATTTATAAAACCTACATCTAAGAATACACCTAAAATATGAAAGATTTGTCTGTATTAGCTTTTAAAATGAGCTTCAAATTTACCTTTCCATATTATTTTAGAATCTTATGTTCCTTATATACAAAGTATGTTATCGTCTACTTCTGAATACTTCCATCAAGTTTGTTTAAAAACTGGTCACTTTAGGGGCTGGGGATGTGGCTCAAGCGGTAGCGCGCTCGCCTGGCGTGCATGCAGCCCGGGTTCGATTCTCAGCACCACATACAAACGAGGATGTTGTGTCCGCCAATAACTAAAAAATAAATATTAAAATTCTCTCTTTCTCTCTCTCCCTCTCTCACTCTCTCTTTAAAAAAAAAACAAAAAAAAAACTGGTCACTTTAGAAAACAACTGATGATGCCTTATTAAAAAATCTTAGCACTAACCAGGCATGGTGTCCCATGCCTGTAATTCTAGCTACTCAGGAGGCTGAGGAAGGAGACTTGCAAATTCAAAGCCAGCCTTAGCAACTTAGTGAGATCCTGTCTCAAAAAACTAAAAGGGCTGGGGATGCAGTTCAGTGGTAAAGTGCCCCAGTACTGCCCCCCAGTTCTTGGTAGCAGAGCCCATGTTGTTTAACCAAATTAACACAATCAGTGGGAGTGGCTGCAACTGAATTGAATGATGTTAACTTTAAATTGTCAAGTAGTTAATTAGACAGAAATAAAACTAGAAATTCTGACCACCAAAGATGTTTTTAAAAATTGTTACTTAAGTAAAGGGAAGCATATTCATCAAGTTATTTTTTATCAGAACAATCTTTTCTGCCAAGTTTACCACCTCCCCCCCCCACCTAGAATTCTTTGTACCTCCAGGAGGAATGAATATATATTTCATTTTGCTTCTAGTTGAGGCCAAAATATTCAAGTTTGAGGCAAAGATTTTTCCATCCCAAACTTAACAAAAACAAAACAAATAAAAGCCTAAGTTGCATTCCATTTGGGCACTTCCACTTACTGCAACTCCCAGAAGACTAAATCTTTTCAGTGAATCACTGTTCTGGATCTTGATTTTGCTTCACTTCACTAACATCTTGGCAAGTCGTCTATGTAATCCTAGTCACAGAGTTTTACATTAAAACATGGGCAAAAGAGGACAGTCTGTTTTATATATTTACTACATTTACTTAAAACAGTGATTCACTATTTTTTCCTTTATGTTTCTCAAACATCTAAATATTCTGAGAAATTATTTCTATATTCTTTTTGGGTATTTTAGAGACTCACTCAAAGAACAAATTGGGAAATCTTTTCCAGAATGTACACCGGAATCACCCAGGTAATTCTTTTCAGCATATACATGCTTAGTCTCTATTCCACACCAATGAATCAGAATCTCTGGGAAACTTAAAAATAAAGTAAAAAGAAAATACTAAGAAATACTAGAAAGAACAAGGTTTATGTTTCAAGTCTAGCCTTTGATTTTAATCTGCTTACCAACTAATATGTTAACCTATTATTTTTTCATATATACTCTTAGAAGACATGAAACTCTTGGGTCAGAAAGAAAGGATTTTACTATTCACAATACTGCAGTATGAGCATCTTATTTGTGATGGTATCTTGCCCTCAAGTCCCATGGGAGGTGATGCAGACAGTTGCCAGTTTGTGTTATAGGATGGGGACACTGAGCCTGGGGATTCTGATGTTTTACAGCCAACAGTAATCCGATCTGCTCTTTGCCCCTGAGAGGGACATTACCTAAACCCTCAATTTTGCTTGCTGCAAACACAACTCTAAGAAATGATCTACATAAAGAGCAATCGATGCCTTGCATTTTTGACACAACCACCAAGATATATAGGTACTTGAGAGAACCATAGAATGTTTTTCAACATATTTCTATGAATTAATGTTAGACGGTATTAAGAGTTACATTTGAAAAATTTAAAAAAGCAAGATATAGAAGCATATCACAAATTTGACTTTTTAAAAATAGGACAGACATATAGGTTTGTATATGTACATATTTTTAGAAGAGTATTAAGAAACCCCCTTGGAAGTAGAAATGGCAAACTTGGGTGTTAGAGGGTCTTTTATCCTTCTTTATATTATTCCTTTTGTTTTGTTATTATGAACAATTTTTTTTTGTAACAATGGTAATGGTTTACCTGTTTTTTGTCAGTAGATTCTCTGGCCATCTCTTTATCATCTCCTAAGGGTCCACATTTGTCTTCTTCATTTTCCTATTTAAAATCAGATTAAGAGGGAAAAATTAATATGATTAATCCAATATTTCCATATTTAAAAGGTGGTTTCCTTGACCTTAGACCATTCATTTGTTTTCTCTTTGATGAAACTCTGCACTGACTTCTCACTTTGTTCAGGATCAAATCCAGACTACACTTAACATAGTAAATAAGGCCTATATAATCTCCCCTGGCTATTTTTATATAATATTAGAAATTGTGACTAGAAAGAAAAAAATTATAGTTTAAGATTTCAGAATTGAGGCACTTTTGAGCAATGGAAAAGTCCAAAGGGTGGCCCATGGCTATGAATGACTAAGTTGGAATAGAGGTAGGTCATTAGAGTTGAGAAGATAAGGAAATATGTAGCAAAGGTATTATATATGGATTATAGTAGACAGAGTAATGGCTCCTGAAGATCTTTTGTCCCACTCCCTGGAGCCTGTGACTATATTATGTTTTATGATAAAAGAGAATAAAGGTTACAGATGTAATGAAAGCTGCCAATCATTTATCATGAGATGGGGAGATAATCCTGTAGGTCCAAGGTTATTAAAAGGTCTTAGTAAGCAGATGAGGCAAGCAGGGAAGGCAAAGTGAGACAACTGAGAGTCAACTGGCCAATGCTCATTTTGAAGATGGAAGGGGCCATGGGCCAAGGAATACAGGTAGTCTCCAAAGTTACAAGAGGCAAGGAAATAGACTTCCTCCAGAGCCTCCAGAAGGAATTCAGCCCTGCTGACATTTTGATTTTACAATGAGACCCATTTTGGACTTCTGACCTCCGGAACTGTACAATAATAAATTTTTGTTTTAGTTAACTTTGTAGTAATTCATTACAGCATTAATAAAAACCTAATTCAGAGATGTCCTTAAGTCTCCTCTAAAAGTGAAAATTAAAGGTGAAACAAAGTTTTGAGGCAAGGTCCAAAGACTTTAGATAAAGGTCAACCATAGACCTACTTGCTCAAGATGCAATCCTCATAGAACTTATGATTTATAAACACAGACAAGATGATATAGTAGAATTCAGTGAGTCGAAAAATGGGATAGTTAACAAATTGGGGGAAATTTTTGAGGTAGGAACGGGAATTTGATGAATGCTGACCTTGGCCTTGTGAAACAAGTACTGGATGACAGAAATGGAACAATCCCAATAAGTTTATAAAACAAAAACTATGTCCTTCTGGGTGTGGTGGCACACACCTATAATCCCAGCTACTCAGAAGGCTGAGATCGGAAGATCACAAGTTCAAGGCCAGTGTGAGCTACTTAGTGAGATCCCATCTCAAAAAAATATATAAAAAGGGGGAAGAAGAGAGGGAGGAGGAGGGAGGTGGCTGCACTGTGGCAGAGGAGCAGGAGCAGGAGGGGGATGGAGAGAAGGCTCCTGGGTGGCATGGCGCTCCTGCTCCTCCAGGCACTGTCAGTCAGGGCTGAACCCCTGCAGGATAAGGAAGCCTGTGTGGGTACCAACAATCAAAGCTACATCTGCAACACAGGACACTGCTGTGGACAGTCTCAGTGCTGCAACTACTACTATGAACTCTGGTGGTTCTGGCTGGTGTGGACCATCATCATCATCATCCTGAGCTGCTGCTGTGTCTGCCACCTCCTCGAAGCCAAGCACCGCCTTCAGGCCCAGCGGCGGCAACATGAAATCAACCTGATTGCCTACCAGGAAGCCCACAATTACTCAGCGCTGCCATTTTATCTCAGGTTTTTGCCAAACTATTTACTACCTCCTTATGAGGAAGTGGTGAACAGACCTCCAACTCCTCCCCCGCCGTACAATGCCTTTCAGCTACAGCAGCAGCAGCAGCTGCCTCCTCAGCGTGGCCCTGCAAGTGGCAGCCCTCCGGGTGCTGATCCTACCAGGGGCTCCCAGGGGGCACAGAGCAACCCCTTGTCTGTGCCCAGCAGAGGAAGCACAAGACCCCCAAGCATCGCTGATCCTGAGCCCTCTGACGTGCCAGCTGACCAAGCAGCTACCAAAGCCCCCGGAATGGAGCCCAGTGGCTCAGTGGCCAGCCTCGGGGAGCTAGACCCAGCGGCCTTCCTGGACAAGGATTCAGAATGTAAGGAGGAGCTACTGAAAGATTCCAGCTCTGAACATGGCAGTGTGCTCCCCGATAGCAAAGATGAGACACCTGGCAGACATCGCCGCTTCACAGGTGACTCAGACATTGAGGTGTGTGTGTGCAACCGGGGCCATCATGACGATGACTTCAAAGAATTCACCACACTCATTGATGCTCTGGATGGGCCCCTGGACTTCTGTGACAGCTGCCACGTGAGGCCTCCTGGTGATGAGGAGGAAGGGCTCTGCCAGCCCTCTGAGGAGCAGGCTGGAGAGCCTGGACATTCCCACCTGCCTCGGCCGCCCCCGTACCTGCTGCTCAACATCATCAATGAGCAGGACTCGCCAAACTCCCAGAGCAGCAGCTCCCCCAGCTAGAGTAGGCTCTGCCTGTGACCGGAAACTTGGCAAAGCAACCAGGGTAAGGGAGACTCAAGAGAGAAGCATTAAGTGACTTTCAGAGGAAGTGGTACAGCCACTTTTTTTTCCCTTCTCTCCTGCTTTTTCCTACATCTCCAAGTACAGTTTGGGGTGTGGGTGCCTCTCCCTCACAAAAACACAGTATTGTGGAGTGCTGAGAGCCATAGCCAAGTAAGAATGATGCATGGCATTTTTGGTTGAAAGGTGACCCTGCTCAGGGATTAGGGTGGCTCCAGGTTTAGGATTGGATCCTGCTGGATTAAGGTGGCTCCGGGTTTAGGGTGGATCCTGCTGGATTAGGGTGGCTCCAGGTTTAGGGTGGATCCTGCTGGGAATAGGGCGGATCCTGCTGCCTCAGGCGCCTGCTCCTTGAGTTCTCGTGGGGTTCTGAGAGTATTGGTACGCAGAGCCCAGTGGAGGGAGTGTATTTTCCGAAAACGTGCTGGTGAGAGTTCAGGAATAAAGAGTTGCTGTTTCAATCTACAAGGCGGTGTGGTGGCTCGGTTATTTTATGCCCAGACAGACTGCGGCATTGAATAAAGAGTTGCTGTTTGAATCTACAAGGCTTTTGTGGTGGCTTGGTTATTTTGTGCCCAGACAGACTGCGGCAATGGAGGGCTGAGAAGTTGGTTCCATGACTCATTCCTCATCCCCTTCTTCCCCCCCTTTCAAGTCATATCTCACCTACGGGCTTTGGTCAGAGAGATGTGTTTTAAAGCCCCCAAAGAAGGGGACTGGGACTATGTCCTGCAATGATTCTTGGTGATGTAGTGGATTTATGCTCTGGTTTTAGTTTAAGAGAACTTTGTTGTGTCTCAGTTCAACAGAAGCACCCCTTCTTAGCCCTGGTTGAAGAAGGAAGCCACAGAGGCCTAGGGATTGTCAACTGTGGCTGCCAGTGTCTGCACAGCCAGAGTTGAGCTGATTCTGTGGGAGGATGAGTGCTGGTGGACAGGTTGGTAGGAGGCTTGCTGATCTCTCAAATTCCAGGTGACAAGAAAATGTACCACTGTGCATCCTGGAGGGGCCCCTTCCTTCCCAGAAGGCTCAGGTGTGGAAGGGCAGACTGCCTTTTCTTTGTTAAAACAAAACAAAACAAAACAAAACAACAAAAGCCAGCTAGAAACAAGAACCTTTCCAGTGGGCTTGCAAGAATTCTCTTCTGGACAAGGGAAGTTTGTGCTTTCCCAGGTTAGTCTTCCATGAATGTGGCTGCAGTTGAGCCAGAGGGAGATGTTTGTGTGTGGGCTTGGAGTGGGTTAGCTCTGAGCAGCAGGCCCTAAATCTGGGAGTGGAGAGAAGTGAAGCTTCCTGCATCTCTGCCCTTTGGTCTGTGCCCACAGGTGACCAGTGTCCTTGTCCATCCCTAGCACATGGTCTGCAGGACTTTGTAGCTCCTTGTACTCTTATGAACAGAGAGTCTGAGGAAGCTGTGGGTCCTGGGAAAAGCAGCCCCATAGTCTGGTTCTCATACAGTATTTTCTCTTTGAAAAAGTCTCTTGTTGTTATGTTGAAAGGGTAAAGTTTCTAAGCTGGAAAGCTTGAATGTAAAAGATTAGGTATTATTAAATTCCTCTGTTACACCCAGATTCCTGAGATAGTTAA